AAGTCTCTACTTGGTCTCAGTTCTCCAGTAAACTTGTTTTATCAACAAAAGCAGTTCAATGTCGGGGTACAGAGTCGCTCTCTTACCAGGATCGCGGTCCGCTCTGACCAGGGTGAAGCCGGCCGGCTCCACTTCTCTGTCCGGGACTCTGTCATCCAGCCAAGTCTCCCAGCTGTATTGGGATTCCGCTGCCAGCAGCGTTTTCATTATTTAGTCCGTTCGTAGCGGGTATGTACACGATCAACAAGATCAGTCCAAAACCAACCACTGGAAATCCATGGTTGGCAGAATGTTTGTAAACTAAGTCTACAAATTAAAAACATAAAATAACGCCACACTGCAGGTCGCAACAGAGACGCTGCTAGCCGCTATTGTCTTAGTTACGTTCATGGTTACGTCACGTATGACGAAAGCGCGTAAGTGCAAGCCCACAGACCCCCATAGAGAATGTATTGAAAGCTTTGAAATTTGAAAAAAATAGATTTTACATGACAGGCTATGAGAGACTTCTGGGCGATTTTCAACTTGACTGAAATCGCCCCAAAAACGGGCGGGGCCATTTGAAGCACGACTTTAGCCTGATTTGACATTTAGTGGCTGGCAGATCAGACGTGAACACTGATAACTACTGTTGCCGTGATATAATTGATTAGAAAAAAAATCCCTTCCTTTTCCCGTTTGGCAGTGCGTCGCCCATATCGCCCTATTGAACAGGCCGTCCCTGGTGCTCAGTGATGCTTTATTAATGCTACAGGGCAAGTGCTCAAAATATATGATAAAAACACAATTAACTCTACATTACACCACATTACTGAATACATTTTTCTATGTAGGCACAGTTACAGTAAATGCTACAGTAAATATAGTTACAGTAAATAATACAGTAAATATAGTTACAGTAAATGCTACAGTAAATATAGTTACAGTAAATTCTACAGCAAATATAGTTACAGTAAATATAGTTACAGTAATTGCTATAGTAAATATAGTTACAGTAAATGCTATATATGACCTGGGTTCAAATACTATTTGAAATCTTTCTAATACTTTGAGCGTTTTCTTTAACCTAGGTGGAATGCCAGGTGGGCAGGGTTTGCACTTTGGGGACTGTTCTATTTGCTTCAATGCAACATGCAAGCTAAATTAAACGCAAATAAAGTATATGAAAATGTTTCAAACAGTATTTGAATCCAGGTTTGTATGTAACCTATGATGAAGTTGTTGGTAGCAGAAATTCTATATTAGATTTCTCCCTGTGTGGGCATTACATTATGGAGCAAAGGGCCTCGCAGAAGAAGAACGATGTGAACATACAGTATATAACACAGGTCTACAGTTATGGGGGAAATCCACAGGGAAACAAGCAAGCAAAAGTAGCCCAGCCTGTTTCATTTCACTCTCTGAATGATAGAGCGTTTCACTGACTAACCGACATGTTGACTGCTGTATTTTTCCTATACAGCTTTACAATTCAGATTGCTCTGGAGCCCTACACTCTCCAGTTTGTAGAGAGTTTCACAGTTAAAAACCTTCTGGCCATTTTCCTTTTTGGTAATTTTGAACATCTCAAAAGGTGGAATCAACACCTCCTTCTCCTTGTCTCCCATCACTGGGTAGGACATGAGATCAGCGCCAAAACATGTCTTTATCTCAAAGCAGGACTTCTCTCCAAAATGTGTCAAGTTCTTTAGGAAAGAGCTGGAGGCAAAGAAGCCGAATCTGATTAGTTGGTTAACTTCACCTCCAAACTCCATGTTGGTTCTCCGGTATGTGGTGTGACATGTCTGTTGGTTTAGTTTCAGGAGGCGAATGGCGTCAGTCAGCAGGAAATGCAGGGAGTGGAATTGGAAGGAGGTTGTATACTTCAATCTGTTGATCCGGACTGCTTCGTTGAACTCTGGGTACATCTTAGTTTGACCTCCTGTGTAAGCACAGATAGCCTTGATATGATCATGTGTAAGTTTATCTTTAGAATTGTACTTGGACTTGTCCTTTTGGAATCGGTTCTTCACATTTGTTGCACATCCTTCTGCCTGTTTCCAGGATTTATTGAAGATCCCTACATTTCTGTTTTCATTTGGAAGATATTCCTTCCGCACCTTGTTGTACATTTGTTCAGTGCAGCCGTTATACATGTCGTCAACAGAGTAAGGGACCATGTCTAAGGGTTTGGGGGAATTGAGACCAGGCTGACGGAGATGAACCTTCAGAGAATATGGAGGGAAAAACTGCCAAAATAACAAGAGGAATGGTTTTATTAAAATGTTTAACTGTAGTGATCTTGTGCTCAAATTAATCATAGCACGACTGCATGCTATTAATACCCTTTAATAACAAGGTTCTCATCTCAAAATCATATAGTTCTATAAAACAAACAAAAGTTGATTCTGGATTGTGAGCAATGTTGAAAAGGCCTATGTGCAAAAACACTTCCACAGTAATCTTCTAGTTCTGTGTTACATATTGAGAGATACTTACCATCTTGGAGTCCACACCCAGAGTCCAAGCATGGAAGACACACAGCACAGCAAAGGTTAGGATGTTGTCTCTCCTCATGACTTCAACAGCACCTGTAGTAAAACAACATGTAGAGGAGACCAAACCAATCAGCATAACAATACCCAACATGATAAAACATAGCTTTGATATTATTCACTTTTAATAAAACAAAATTGGGACTAAAATTGCAAAAGCACCATATAGGAGCTGATAGTGAACATAAATATACTGGCAATCATTATATTCATTACAAAAATAGCTTAGAATGATCTGATAGTTGAACTTACCAGACTGGAGCACAATAGAGGTTGTTTTGTATTGTTCAGCTTCAGGACTTGTGTTAGCAGGCTGTCTGATAAGATCTACTTATACCTGGTCAGAGATCTGACTTTACAAGCAGACATGACCACAAATCTTGTTCCCACTCTGAAGCACCAAGATAATACGTACACAATGTCATGCAGATTGTCACGTCTGCACACATACACACACACACACACACACACACACACACACACACACACACACACACACACACACACACACACACACACACACACACACACACACACACACACACGAGGATGTACACAGCTCTATCTTGGTTCACCACAGGCCCATTTCCAACTAAAAGTGATGCTGCTGAGAAAGACTTAACGTTCCCCCTTTCTGTCTTTCTGACTCCCCTCAACCACTGCACAGTGTGGTCAGTCAGTTGTCATGGTCACAATCTCTCAGGTTGTGTGACTGGTAGTGACGTCACTGGAGTTCCAGCGATTTTTCAGTAATACGTTTTAGTTTTAAATTTTGTGGCAGAACCAAGTATCATAATTTTAATAGAATACATTTGAAAATCTTACTTGGCCATTAAAATGTTCATAAAATATGTCAAAATGTGGAATGATACTAGTCATCTGGGTGAGATCTGACTACTGTTTATCTCTTTCCCACTGACATGTATCTTTTTCTGATATTTTCCCCCTCTGAACCCACACTAAAGTTTGAGGCCCTCTTGAAGGTGTGACACACACTTCATGAGACTGACTTTGGTGCAAACCACACCACTAACAACCTGACAAAGATAAATGTCATTCAGTTTCCCAGATGTAACTATGCAGGTGTCATCATTACTGTATAAGATATTCATTGTCATTTCCATGTCTTAGAGATACTGGGTTTTATAGTAGTGTCAAAGCAACAGTTAGTGTCAAAGTAACATAAATAGACAGTACGTTATGACAGTTCACTGCCACCCTGTGGCCTCTGTTGTCTCTGCTAGTGAACACGATGGCTGCTGAAAGCTTCCATCATTACCAAGTCCCATTCCTCTCTCCTCTAACCCCACTCATGACATTGGCCACGTTCCAGGTTGACTACATTGAAGTTGCCTGCCAGATCTCACAACTCCTGGATTGGTGTTTAACATATCAGATAATCACATCATGTGGTATACTAATCTGATGCCCATTTGTTGCTGCATGCAACTCAACTTCAATATAGTTGGCCTGGAACGAGACAGTTCTCTCCTTGTTGTGGTTGATAGATTGAGCGGTACTGAGCTCTGACCTTACAGACACAGGAAACTACTAATCATGCTATGCTATGCTCTCCCTCCCTCCCTCCCTCCCTCCCTCCCTCCCTCCCTCCCTCCCTCCCTCCCTCCGACAGCCACAGTTTCCTCTTCTCTCTCTGGTTAGCCAGCCTACTTGCTTTCCATTTTAAACCAATCAGAGAACAACATGAGAATTAGTGGAGTTGATTTTAATGAGATGGAATCTTTTCTTCTGTAGGTTTCTATCAGATTTACACATAGTGGATAAAGAGGACAGGAGGTGTAATATTGCTCAATGCTTTTCTTTTTTCGGTTTTAACACAAATTCCATTGCACATGACAACAAAACAGAACATACCATCAGCGGTGTCATGCCCATAGGGGGAACAGGGGTTGGGCCCCCTCAGATTTGTCCTCTAAAATATATATATATATAAATATATACAGTATATGGTCATCGGTGGCCAGTCAAACTCTGGGGGGACGTTTCCTCTAGGTACAGATCTAGGATCAGCCATCCCTCCCCCAATCCTAACCTTAACCATGTGTGGTGGAAATGCAAAACTGACCCAAGATCAGCATCTAGGGGCAACTTCCCCCTACACCCCCGGTCACAGAGTGACAGCCATTATGTGGCCTCTGTTTGACAGCTGTATATGTGAATTAACAGGATCCCAATTTATTTTAGCAGATCCCAAATTGGGACCCTGTGAATTCATACATACATCACATAGTATGATATAGAGTCATATAATGTAGTATATTTTCACTTCAGTTGAATCATATGTTTAAAACCGATGGGCACTGTGGGAAACAAACATGTTTAGATTAGAAACTAAGGCTGGTGCAAGTCACGTGGTCACGTGGTGGCCAGTGTTGTGTTAATTTGACAGTTTCCCCTTCACTGTGGTTGACACTTTAAAAAATAGTGTCACTACCATAAATCACACAAACGCATGACAGTGCAGGGAGAAGACAGGTACAGACGTACATTAGAGCTGAGGTTAGAAGTAGAAGTTACTGTATTTGAGCAGAAGTGTATTAAGATGTCAGAGAGAGTCTATGAAAACTCAGACTGATTTGAAGACGACGAGCCTGATGCAATGAAGAACACAGACATTGATGGGCAATTGTATGCCAACGTAAGAGCCTTCAAGCCCAGTCCAAAAGATGGAGATGTTGCTTCAGGTAAGATTACACACATAGACACACACACACACACACACACACACACACACACACACACACACACACACACACACACACACACACAAACACATGCACACACACACACACAAATAAATTACACACACAATACATTCAACAGGTGAGTTTACCCTGTAGTATTATAATGTTACAGTGTATTTGGAAATTATTCAGACACCTTCACTTTTTTCACATTTTGTTAAGTTACAGCCTTATTCAAAAATTGATTACATTATTTTTTTTCTCTCATCAATCTACACACAATACCCCATAATGACAAAGCGAAAACAGGTTTTTAGAAATGTTTGCAAATGTATAAAAAAAATAAAAAACTGAAATACCTTATTTACGTAAGTATTCAGACGCTTTGCTATTAGACTCGAAATCGAGCTCAGGTGCATCCTGTTTCCATTGATCATCCTTGAGATGTTTCTACAACTTGATTGGAGTGCATTGGTCAATTCAATTGATTGGACATGATTTGGAAAGGCACAAACCTGTCTATATAAGGTCCCACAGTTGGCAGTGCATGTCAGAGCAAAAACCAAGCCATAAGGTCGAAGGAATTGTCCGTAGAGCTCCGAGACAGAATTGTGTCGAGGCACAAATCTGGGGAAGGGTACCAAAAAATGTCTGTAGTAGTAAGGGTCCTCAAGAACGTAGTGACCTCCATCATTCTTAAATGGAAGAAGTTTGGAACCCCCAAGAATCCTTCTAGAGCTGGCCGCCCGGCCAAACTGAGCAATCGGGGGAGAAGGGTCTTGGTCAGGGAGGTGACCAAGAACCCGATGGTCACTCTGACAGAGCTCCAGAGTTCCTATGTGGAGATGGGAGAATCTTACAGAAGGACAACCATCTCTGCAGCGCTCCACCAATCAGGCCATTATGGTAGAGTGGCCAGACAGAAGCCACTCCTCAGTAAAAGGCACATAACAGCCTGCTTGGAGTTTGCCAAAATGCACCTAAATAACTCTCACACCATGAGAAACAAGATTCTCTGGTCTGATGAAACCAAGATTGAACTCTTTGGCCTGAATGCCAAGCGTCACGTCTGAAGGAAACCTGGCACCATCCCTACGGTGAAGCATGGTGGTGGCAGCATCATGCTGTGGGGATGTTTTACAGCGGCTTCGGGACAAGTCTCTGAATGTCCTTGAGTGGCCGAGCCAGAGCTCGGACTTGAACCCGATTGAACATCTCTGGAGAGACCTGAAAATAGCTGTGCAATAACCGCTCCCTGCCACTGCCAAAGGTGCTTCAACAAAGTACTGAGTAAAGGGTCTGAATACTTATAAATAAGGTAATATATTTGTTTTACAATTTCTAAAAACCTGTTTTTGCTTTGTCATTATTGTGTATTGTGTGTAGATTGATGGGGTATTGTGTGTAGATTGATGAGGAAATAACCAACAGTTTAATCCATTTTAGAAAAAGTCTGTAATGTAACAAAATGTGGAAAAAGTGAAGGGGTCGGAATACTTTCTGAATGCACTGTATTAGTTCCAATCCTGGATGATGCAGTAAAACACATTACCAAAGTTCTTCCTTGAATAATTTGTGATTCAGCTAATTTTCAGTGGTGGAAGAGACCCTCTGGAGTTGCTGCAGTGTGTCTGGGGCTGCTGTGTGTTCTCCTACTGGCTGGGATCATAGGCCTGTCTGTCTACTGTAAGTTTAGTATGTTGTCACTGAGACTTAAGTAGCCTAATTAATCATACATAATCATCAATTGTGTGGTAGTCACATGTTTGATTAACTTTTCCCTTTTACAGATGGAGTCATTGGTCATCACGACTCAACAGAGAGAAACCAGCTACAGACCAGATACAACAACCTGACTAAAGAGAGAGACCAGTTACAGACCAGTTACAACACCCTGACTAAAGAGAGAGACCAGCTACAGACCAGTTATAACACCCTGACTAAAGAGAGAGACCAGCTACAGACCAGTTACAACAACCTGACTAAAGAGAGAGACCAGCTACAGACCAGTTACAACAACCTGACCTAAAGAGAGAGACCAGCTACAGACCAGTTACAACAACCTGACTAAAGAGAGAGACCAGCTACAGACCAGTTACAACAACCTGTCTGAAGAGAGAGACCAGCTACAGACCAGTTATAACACCCTGACTAAAGAGAGAAACCAGCTACAGACCAGTTACAACAACCTGTCTGAATAGAGAGACCAGCTACAGACTGAGAGAGAGATTCTTAACAGGAGGCTTACCAATCTCAGTGAGTACACCTACAGTAATACATTGTTATTAATCCCACACACCTTATCGTGTGTTTCTATTCTTTCATTAAGTGTTGAAGAAAATTCACGTTTTCATCTTGTAGAACAAACTTATTCTGAAGGCTGGCAGAAGTTTGAATCCAGTTGGTACTTCCTGTCTACTGAGACTCAAATCTGGAAAGAGAGCAGAGAGGACTGTCTAGAGAGAGGAGCAGACCTGGTGATCATAAACAGCGATAAGGAACAGGGGAGAGAGAGAGAGAGAGAGAGAGAGAGAGATAGAGAGAGAGAGAGAGAGAGTAGATATGGGTGTGCAGGGGGAAGGTATGATCAAACATATGTATCTTTCTCAACAACAGACATTTCTCTTCAACCTTAAACACAGTCTGGATTGGTCTGACTGACTCTGTTACTGAGGGGACCTGGAAATGGGTGGACGGAACCCCACTGACCACCGCAAGGTAAAACACTACTGCTCTAATAACACTGACCACAGTGTAAGGACTAGTACTGATTCTCTGTATTATTCATACTCTAGGTCCTCCATACCCAACTGGCGGACCAACACTGACCACAGAGTAAGAGATCATAACTACTCTGACAATAAGACTACAATGTTCAGTTCATTCAACCTTCATCTATACAGGTTATTATCATTGATGGCAGCACTCAACAACATCGAATTTAAACGGAAAAATGTCTGTATATTATTTAGGATTGTGATGTTCTAACTGTGATATCTGACGGTTTTTAACCCTGTAGGTACTGGTATTAACCATGATATCTGACTGTTTTTAACCCTGTAGGTACTGGTATTAACCATGATATCTGACTGTTTTTAACCCTGTAGGTACTGGTATTAACCATGATATCTGACTGTTTTTAACCCTGTAGGTACTGGTATGACAAACAGCCTGATAATGCAGGTCCTACTGGGGATGAGGACTGTGTTGAGATACACAAAGATCAGTGTCCTCTAAAGGCATGGAATTACTTGTCATGTGACAGCAAACTAAACTGGATTTGTGAGAAAGTGGTTTAACATCACCATGACAACATACTGTAACAATACAACAGCCTACAATGCACACAACTTTCTCTCTCTCTCTCTCTCTCTCTCTCTCTCTCTCTCTCTCTCTCTCTCTCTCTCTCTCTCTCTCTCTCTCTCTCTCTCTCTCTCTCTCTCTCTCACACACAGTCTCTCTCTATCTGAAACCCACACACACACACCCTCACACACACACCCTCACACACACACCCTCACACACACACAAGCTCGCACACACGGATGCAAACACACCTATTGTTGTATTTGTCTGTAGTATCATATTAATATTTCCTGTTTGTAGCTTCCTGTGTACCAGTATTTATGTTTGACACGTCGTCAGATACAACATGAAGTTAGTACATTTGACTTTGTGCAACACCCTCCATGCAGTGCATTTAATCAATTCTAATTCAAATACATTCTTACTTGCTACAGATATTTACATGCTCCAATGTAGATCTGGTGCAAAACTTCTGAACAGTACCAAAGCACCATTACATACACTGTATAGGGGTTGACTGTATCACCAATCAATGAGTGTAGTAGAGATATCAAAGAATGTTACTTAAGTCACCACAGAGAGAGAGAGAGAGAGAGAGAGAGAGAGAGAGAGAGAGAGAGAGAGAGAGAGAGAGAGAGAGAGAGAGAGAGAGAGAGAGAGAGAGAGAGAGAGAGAGGGCTTGAAAACGATTAAAGACTACAAAGGGAAGCACAGCCGCGAGCTGCCCAGTGACACAAGCCTACCAGACGAGCTAAACCACTTCTATGCTCGCTTCGAGTCAAGCAACACTGAAGCATGCATGAGAGCACCAGCTGTTCCGGACTACTATGTGATCACCCTCTCCGTAGCCGATGTGAGTAAGACTTTTAAGCAGGTCAACATTCACAAGGCCGCAGGGCCAGATGGATTACCAGGACGTGTACTCCGAGCATGTGCTGACCAACTGGCAAGTGTCTTCACTGACATTTTCAACATGTCCCTGACTGAGTCTGTAATAACAACATGTTTCAAGCAGACCACCATAGTCCCCGTGCCCAAGAACTCTAAGATAACCTGCCTAAATGACTACCGACCCGTAGCACTGACGTCTGTAGCCATGAAGTGCTTTGAAAGACTGGTCATGGCTCACATCAACAGCATAATCCCAGAAACCCTAGACCCACTCCAATTTGCATACCGCCCAACAGATCCACAGATGATGCAATCTCTATCGCACTCCACACTGCCCTTTCCCACCTGGACAAGAGGAACACCTACGTGAGAATGCTATTCATTGACTACAGCTCAGCATTCAACACCATAGTGCCCTCTAAGCTCATCACTAAGCTAAGGATCCTGGGACTAAACACCTCCCTCTGCAACTGGATCCTGGACTTCCTGACGGGCCGCCCCCAGGTGGTAAGGGTAGGTAACAACACATCTGCCACACTGATCCTCAACACGGGGGCCCCTCAGGGGTGCGTGCTCAGTCCCCTCCTGTACTCTCTGTTCACCCATGACTGCATGGCCAGGCACGACTCCAACACCATCATTAGGTTTGCCGACGACACAACAGTGGTAGGCCTGATCACCGACAACGATGAGACAGCCTATAGGGAGGAGGTCAGAGATCTGGCCGTGTGGTGCCAGGACAACAACCTCTCCCTCAACGTGACCAAGACAAAGGAGATGATTGTGGACTACAGGAAAAAAAAGAGGACTGAGCACGCCCCCATTCTCATCGACGGGGCTGTAGTGGAACAGGTTGAGAGCTTCAAGTTCCTTGGTGTCCACATCACCAACGAACTATCATGGTCCAAACACACCAAGACAGTCGTGAAGAGGGCACGACAAAGCCTATTCCCCCTCAGGAGACTAAAAAGATTTGGCATGGGTCCTCAGATCCTCAAAAAATTCTACAGCTGCACCATCGAGAGCATCCTGACTGGTTGCATCACCGCCTGGTATGGCAACTGCTTGGCCTCTGACCGCAAGGCACTACAGAGGGTAGTGCGTACGGCCCAGTACATCACTGGGGCAAAGCTCCCTGCCATCCAGGACCTCTATACCAGGCGGTGTCAGAGGAAGGCCCTCAAAATTGTCAAAGACTCCAGCCACCCTAGTCATAGACTGTTCTCTCTGCTACCGCACGGCAAGCGGTACCGGAGTGCCAAGTCTAGGTCCAAAAGACTTCTCAACAGCTTCTACCCCCAAGCCATAAGACTCCTGAACAGCTAATCATGGCTACCCGGACTATTTGCACTGCCCCCCCACCCCATCCTTTTTATGCTGCTGCTACTCTGTTAAGTAAGTATTTATGCATAGTCACTTTAACTCCACCCACATGTACATATTACCTCAACTACCTCAACTAGCCGGTGCCCCCGCACATTGACTCTGCAACGGTACCCCCCTGTATATATAGCCTCCCTACTGTCACTTTATTTTACTGTATATATAGCCTCCCTACTGTCACTTTATTTTACTTCTGCTCTTTTTTTCTCAACACTTTTTTTGTTGTTGTTTTATTCTTACTTTTTTGTTTAAAATAAATTCACTGTTGGTTAAGGGCTGTAAGTAAGCATTTCACTGTAATGTCTGCACCTGTTGTATTCGGCGCATGTGACCAATAAAATTTGATTTGATTTGATTTGATTTGATTTGAGAGAGAGAGAGAGAGAGAGAGAGAGAGAGAGAGAGAGAGAGAGAGAGAGAGAGAGAGAGAGAGAGAGACGAGGTTAGCCTACAATTTCAAGTATTTTATTAGTCCTAAACAGGTAGGAAAGTACAATCACAAAGATCCACTTTTATAGACAATAGGCCTATACTCTCTCTCATCACCCCTTGTAACTCCCTTCCTCCTCTTGCCCATCTCCCATACTTCCTATCTCTCCCTTTCTCTCTCCATCCATCCTTCTCGCTCCTCCTCTTCCTCTCCCTCCAACTCCTCTTTCTCTCTCTGCTTCTGCCTCTCTCTGTCCTCTCTCCCACCCTCTTCCTATCTCAGTTCGTTGTTCCCCTGCGTGTGAAGAAGGGCCTGGTGGTCCTCCTACCCTGTGACCACCCCCATCTCTCCTCTCTCCCCTGTGTGTGGGAGCGCCCCCAGGGCTGCCACACCCTGCAGCACCACTCCCACCTGGAGGTCACCGTCTCCAAATCTAGCCTGAGCCTCTACTCCTGCCGCTGTCCAGTCCAGGGTATTAATTCCTGGGGTAGCAAGCCCTGCCTCACAGCGTCCTACCAGCTGACCATGGAGGACCCCAGTTAAGGGCAGGGTGAACCCGGAGGTGTGGAGGTCGCCGATAGGGGTTGTACATCACCTGTGTCCTGCTGGGGGCGCTGGTTGGAGCTTTAGGAGCCACTGTGTTCCTGAAGAGGCTGTGCTGTAGGGCAGCCCAGCACACCCCATTGGAGGACAGAAATGGGAGGGGAGCCAATCAGGGACAGCAGGGGCAGGGCCCCCACCTGCTATGAGAATAAGCTGGTGGTGAGTGACACACCTGTCGGCCAATCGGGGCAGGGTGTTTTGTGAAGAGAAGTCTTTCTGTCTTTATCTCTCTCTCTCTCTCTGTCTCTCTCTCTCTGTCTCTCTCTCTCTGTCTCTCTCTCTCTCTCTCTCTCTCTCTCTCTCTCTCTCTCTCTCTCTCTCTCTCTCTCTCTCTCTCTCTCTCTCTATCTATCTGTGTACTCTCTCCTCTCTGTGTCTCTCTCCCCTGTGGTCTCTCTCTCTCTGTGTCCTCTCTCTCTGTGTTCTCTATCTCTGGTCTCCTCTCTCTGTGCCTCTCTCTCGTGGTCCTCTCTCTGTGTCTCTCTCTCTGTCTCTCTCTCTGTGTCTCTCTCTCTGTATCTCTCTCGGTGTCCTCTCTCATCTGTCTCTCTTTCTGTGTCTCTCTCTCTGTGTTCTCCTCTGCTGTCTCTCTTTCTGTGTCTCTCTCTCTGTGTCTCCTCCTCTCTCTCTGTGTGTGTTCTGCTCGCTGTGTCTCTCTCTCTGTGTCTCTCTCTGTCTCTATCTCTGTCTCTCTCTCTGTGTCTCTCTCTCTGTGTCTCTCTCTCTGTCTCTCTCTCTGTGTCTCTCTCTGTGTCTCTCTCTGTGTCTCTCTCTCTGTGTCTCTCTCTGTGTCTCTCTCTCTGTGTATCTCTCTCTGTGTCTCTCTCTCTCTGTCTCTCTCTCTGTATCTCTCTCTGTCTCTCTGATTCTCTGGTCTATCTCTGTGGTCTCTTCTCCTGTGTTATCTCTCTCTGTTCCCTGCTCTGTGTCCTCTCTCTCTGTATCTATCTCTGTGTCTCTCTCTATGTCTCTCTCTCTGTGTCTCCTCTCTCTGTGTCTCTCTCTCTGTCTCTTCTCTTCTGTGTCTCTCCTCTGGTCTCTCTCTCTTCTCTCTCTCTCTGTTGTGGCTCCTTCTCTGTGTGTCTCTGTGTCTCTCTCTGGTGTGTCTCTGTGATCTCTCTGATGTGTGTCTCTCTGTCTCTCTCTGTGTGTTTATTTGTCCTCTCTCTGTGTGTATCCGTCTGTCTCTCTCGTGGCTCTCTCTGTCCCTCTCTCTGTGTCGCTCTCTTGTCTCTCTCTCTCTGTGTCTCTCTCTGTCTCTCTCTGGTCCTCTCTGGGACTGTCTCTCTGTGTGTCTCTCTCTGTCTCTCTCTCATGTCTCTCCTGTGTCTCTCTCTGTCTCTCTCTGATGTGTCTATCGTCTGTCTCTGTTCTCTCTGTGTCTCTCTCTGTCTCTCTCTGTCTCTCTCTGTGTCTCTCTCTGTCTCTCTCTGTGTCTCTCTCTGTCTCTCTCTGTCTCTATAAGTAGTGTTTTTGTTGTCTCTTGGTCTCTTTATTTTTTGTATATACTATCTGATGTTGTTCTTGCCTATAACTATTCTGTACTTTGTTATGTATTTGTACGTTTTATGTGTACCCCAGGAATACTACATGTGCAGTAGCTATTGGAGATCCTAATAAAGTAAACTCTTTGTCTGTCTCTGTCGCTCTCCGTCTTTCTCTCTCGCTGATTTTCCTATTTTTTTTAAGACAAAACATCCTCTTTGCACTGTAACTGTGCTGTGGAGCCAGTTTATCCTTATTTGGCCATATGATTGGTCAGAAGCAATTTTGGAATGTATAAAGTATTCTATGGAATTCATTTTTTCAAACATCATTATTATTATTATTATTATTATTATTGCCATGTAGCCTTAAAGGGCAATTCTGCCACTTTTAAACCTCATATTCATTATCTCCAGCACCAAATCAGTGTCTACATATGTGAAAACAGCGTGTTTCTATGATCTGCGGTTTTAAAAAAATGGGGGGGGGGGGGGGGGGGGGGGGGAAATGCTTCTCTGTAACCAGGTTTCCATCCAACCTTTTTACGTGAGTAAAGGATGTCTGATATAAAATGTCATGACAGGCCTGATGGAAACAGTCGATTTTTGGGTAAACTTTCCAAATGTCGACAAAACAAAATACGCTAGACAGGGTGGGATCGGTTTGTGTCTGTAAAATAAATTATGTGAGAAATGGTGGTGGAAACACCTTTATTGGCAAATATTGAAATAATAACCATCATATCGAAGCGATGACATGTTGTGTGGTCCTCACACTACAACTCGGGAAAGCATGCATTTTATTAGGCTACAGATGAAATAAGTTTTGATGAACTTCACAGGGGGGTGAAAGTGCACAGTGATCTTGGTCCTCCTTTCCAATAAATATATAGGGTCTTATTCTGGTGACATGATGGCTGCCGTTTGACAAATAAAAAGTGTTGTTCTCATCCATAATAATCTCATGTAGGCTAGCCTACCCGCACTGTATCTGCAAGCTGCTGGTTAGAGCGCACAAGCAAAGACCAGAGTGGGCACATTTGCTATTTAACGCAACAGAGTTGAAAATGCGATGGAAACACATTTGAACTTCAGATTTTTTATGAAAAGTTAAGTAAAAAGTACGGCATCACGCACTGCTTTTTATCAGCAACAAGTCAAATTGGCGGAAACACACCAATGGTGGGAAAATTGGCATATTTTCCTTATGCATATTTTAGAATATTCACATGAAAATCTGTCGCCAATTGGATTAAAACCTAGCTAGTGACGTCACAGGGTAGGATTAAACGTTTTTAAAAAGTGATTTTCAAAACCTGCAACAAGTTTCTAGCCAGGGAGAGGGTATATTCTTGCTCCCCACGTCACCGCAAATCTCATAGTGTTTGATGAAAATCACTGTTTTTAAAATGTTTTAACTTTTAATGTCATTGGCTAGAATTTTACATATTGTTCTACAAAACGTAGAAATGTGCCGTTTTCACATTTAGACACTGGCATTGTGAACATGAGGATGAAGTGGTAGGATTGCCTTTTAAATTGTATTTTTGTGTATGTACATTTTTTGAAAGTTTGTTAACATGATGAATAGTTTTTGGCAGGAAAAGTTATTTTTGTAATATTTGAGAATGTTTTGTAATAGTTGGAATCCATTGTTTGTTATTGCTGCACAAAGTGAGACAGTACATTAAATATTCCCCCAATACCAATTGGTAGTTCTCCAGTATCACGTTATTGAACCATTTAACTTGGCAATTCAGTGTGTCATATATCTTAAACTATAATCAGTGGCCCATGTAATATTATAATTCAGAAGAGGGAGGTGAGTACATGTTCTGCTTAACTATGTAATATTAGAATTAAGATTTAGGTCAGTCAAAAGGGTAGTACAGTGCAAGTTCAGAAAATAAATGATACTAAATCAGGGATGGGTAACTGATGGGGGTGGGGGCCACAAAATCTGAACTCATGAGGGGCCACCATTGCTCATATCGCCCCCCCGATAGCTAATTTCTTGTAATTGTACACATTTTGCCGTAGGGTGGAGAGAAATGTTTGCAGTTTTTAATATGACATCTAAGTGACACTGACTAACAAAACTCAATTGGTGCCCCTCGGCCGGTAATTCAACCATGATAAAGTTTAGATAGCTGGCCGCTCAACTAACTTAGCAATCTATTAATTCTTTGCTGACGTGGGCTAATTGACTGATTTGAAATTACACAGGTACTCCAAATCAGTGACTGACATAAGAGAAAAACTGCTGATGCACAACCACATTTCTAAATTGCACCTTGTATATTCTACTATTCTAACTTGCAACAGTAAGTTGAGACCCCAACTGAGTTCCCTAACTGCGGGCCACCAGTTGCCCATCCCTGTACTAAAGATTCCCACGTCTCCAGCTTCTTTGCAACACCACAAATGGACTTGGCTAATAAAGGTGATTCTGATTCAGAAGAGAAAGACGAGTGCCTGTTCTATTTAACTGTCCAGCGTCTTCCTAACACCTGTGAAGACAAACAAGAACACCTGTGTCTAACGGAAGAGGAAGCCGGAGACGCGACGCAACTGGAAATAAGGTCTGGTGAGTATAACTGGAATCTTGCAATTTTCTTTGAATTTGTAAAGTCTCATTGATAATAAAGTATAATGTTTCAATTATTAGGTAGAGCGGCAGACAGTTCCTTGTGGCAAAGTTTATGCTAGGCCCGATAAGGCTAACATATCTTCAGCCCCATCCCTGTTTTATAACAAACAAAGTGGCTGGGCATTTTTTTTTATTATTAATGAGTAGCCTTGAAAGTAAGGAGGATGAGGGATTACATGTAAAGGTGCTACACCAATTTAGTGTGGAGTTTGGGTCCTCTTTTAACAAGCAAGCTCATAAGTACCACCACAGGTACTCCAAATCAGGGGGAAGAATGGAAATTAACAGACGTAGCATTCAATGTCATTTATTATTTTCAGGTGCATGACAAGTTTTCACAAGTATCTCAAATGTTGACATCGTTCAAATGAAAAAACCTTTGGAAAAAAAAAAAACATGTTGACATTGTTATTAGCAATGCTAAGCACATACAGCATTATCTGCAAGTCACAGTAATCTTCAGAAATTGGCTCATAACAGTCCTGCAAGTGCTAATTCAGGAAATTCAAGTACTAATTCAGCAACTTGAAATAAATCAGATTAAGCAAAAAAAATCTAGATAAAGGAGGATCAAGGACGCATGTCAGGAAGAAGGAGAGTGGATCTGGTTAGTGGTTACAGAGGGAAACTTGGTTGTAACTATCTGGCCAAGCTGCAAAGACGGATTTTAACCTTACGCCTAACCTTAACCACACTGCTAACCTTATGCCTAACTAACCTTAAATTAAGACCAAAAAAACGTTGTTTTCATAAAATGTTATGTTACACCCAATTTTGATTTCACAGCTTGGCCGTAGTGGGAACCGGGCAACTTGCCATAGACATTTAAGCAGTGGTGTGAAGTACTTAAGTAAAAATATTTTCAAGTACTACTTAAGTTTTTTTTGGTATCTGTACTTTACTACTTTTATTTTTGACAACTTTCAATTTTACTTCACTACATTCCTAAGGAAAATAATGTACTTTTTACTCCATACATTTTCCCTGACACCTAAAAGTAATCGTTACATTTTGAATACTTAGTAGGACAGGAAAATGGTCCAATTCATTTCACACACTTATCAAGAGAACATCCCTGTTCATGTACTGCCTCTGATCTGGCAGACTCACTAAACACAAATTCTTTGTTTGTAAATTATGTCTGAGTGTTGGAGTGTGCCCCTGGCTATCAATACATTTAAAAAAAACAAGAAAATGGTGCCGTCTGGTTTGCTTAATATATTGAATTTGAAATTATTAATACTTTTACTTTTGATACTTTAAAAGTATTTGGTTTAAAATATACTTTTAGACTTTTACTTAAGTATTATTTTACTGGGTGACTTTCACTTTTACTTTAGTCATTTTCGATTAACGTATCTTTACTTTTACTAAAGTATGACAATTGGGTACTTTTTCCACCACTGCATTTAGGGTGTGTTTCCCGGACACAGATTAAGACCTATCCTGGAAGAATCGTCTTTTTCGACAATATGGCAATTCAAGTCACTTTTGGGTGTTTCTGTGCTCTCTAGTTCATAGACAATCTCACATTCATTCTCATTTACTTTGTTCTTCTCTTCCAATACTTTATTCTTGGTCACCTTAGCAATTTTGAAAACCTCATATGGGGGAATCAATACCTCATTTTCATCTTCCAATTGAGAAAAACCTGCCAGAGAAGCACCAAAGCAGGTAGTGATCTTAAAACAGGTCTTCCAATTTGCATATATTTTAGCCACAAGCTCGTCGGTAGTTGATGAAGCAAATTGGCCAAATCGCATTGTGTCATCTTCTTTTCCTTGGTAAGCTACAGTGGCTCCACGGAAGGTTTTTACACATTGTTTTCCCTGGGCTTCATTAAGAATACGTAAGGCATCAGACAACAGGAAATGCAAGGAGTGATACTTAAAATGTGTCTTATAGCTCTTCCCTAGGCTACGAGTGGCTTCATTGAATGGCACGTAAATCATCCGTTGTGGATTCACATACACATGAATTGCCCTTAAATGGTCATTAGACAGTTGTTCAACGTTAGATTTATGGTTGTTGTTATACAATTTCATAGCGTCTTCCCAAGCGTCTTTGAAATTTCTGTCAACATTTTTCACCTCTGGTAGGAATTTATTTGTCACCTCACAGAGCATATTCTTCCTGCAGCCATCGTAGGAGTCATCGATAGAGTCAGGGGCCATGTCAAGGGGTATTGGGTCAGGATTGCGACGATTCAGTCGGGGATAAATCTTCAGAAAAGGGAAGAGACAATAAGAACACTTTAATTACAGTGGTGAAATGTATTATTCATAAAGCATTCATAAAGCCTTTATATGCATGACATAAAGATTCATAAAGCCTTTATATGCATGACATAAAGAGTCATAAAGCCTTTATATGCATGACATAAAGAGTCATAAAGCCTTTATATGCATGACATAAAGAGTCATAAAGCCTTTATATGCATGACATAAAAAGTCACAATTCCCTATTATCATATTCTCTATATAGGCCTACACAGTTTAATGTAGTCTTATCCAGTAATGACATAAACATAACACCCACAAGAACTGTTAAAAGCAACTTTGTCTCTGCCAAATGTCTCTGTTCCACATATATTTATGTTATGAAGCCTTTATGTGTACACATACTTATACATGTATAGGGTACAATCAGAGAAGACACATTAGTGTTTATAAGCACTCGTAACTGATTCATGAATTACTTTCCACCACAGTTGGTGAAGTGGCACACTCTTTGGATGCTATGACACATTTATAGGAATTTAAACTTCCTCATGAATAATTGTTCATGACTTATTGAAAAATGATTAAGTTGTATTGTGACATTTTGGCCTTACTCAGTCCTCCTTTAAGAGAACTTACAGTTTTGTCTGTAGGTGCTACAAATCAAGAGTATGTAATGCAATTACATTGTATGTAATGCAATTAAGTTTTTTAGGGCTGCAACTATGGAAATACAATGTATTTATGCTACTAAAAATTGTCAACTTCCCGTCTATGGTTATTTTTTTCACTGCTCACTGTCACCCCTATTATTTAATTTGCATAAAAAAAGTAATTTGGTTGCAAATGCAACTGGGGCCATGCAAATCCTTTTTAGGCTGTTGATTCCACCAGAAGAACCTTGTATGACCATAAAAGTCTCTATTATGCGACAGATCACAGTAAAATAATTTGGTTGCAAAAGTCACTGGCCTCATAGAAGGCCATTAACCATAGAAATATAATTACTATTGTGATGCATAATTTCCACGGTAATTTGGCATGTTCAGTCAATGAGCATTATGGGTAATGTAGTAATAATAATAATAATAATAATGCTATGTAACATGACAATGTGCTTCTATTGAATCTAAAAAGAAGAATCTGTGCAAAATTGTAAAAGATCCCCCTCAGTTCTTTGTCTTCTGGTATTAAAATATAGATTGAAAAATATAAACCGTTTTTCTACTACAAAACATCATATATGTCCTGTAAACCCTACATTTCACCATTTCAGTTTGACCATTTCAATTGGCAATATAGCCCTCCAAAATAAACTGATCCTTGAAAAGATATCTTACCATATTTGAGTCCACACCCAGAGTCCAAGCATGGAAGACACACAGCACAGCAAAGGTTAGGATGTGGTCTCGCCTCATGACTTCAACAGCACCTGTAGTAAAACAACATGTAGAGGAAACAGTGGTCATAAAGTTGTCAGCAATAGTCACTTAAATGAAAGTTTAAGAACATAAATTATATATTATTATTATTATTATTATTATTATTAAAGTTCCCTCCACGAAAAATTCATTTATTCTAAGTCAGTCTAATAACGTTAGTTACGACTTACGTTAGGACTCTTGGGCTCGTGATGGGTGTAGCTTCACCAGGTCTCCTTGTCTTTGGTGTCTCTTGGTGGGTCCCTGTCTGTCGGGCCGGTATTTTATCTTGTCTCTGACCATTTGCATAGAACCCACGTGCCACTTTAAATTTTACTATCATACACCAGACTCTCGTGTCAGCCTCCCATTGTGTGATGGGTGAGTTGAAGGAGTCAGGAGCAGGAGGGTCAATCACAGAATAACAGGATTTATTCCGGAAAACAGAGTTACGCAGGAATGTGTCAAAACAGTCCAGTGCGCAAAACAGGTGCACTGGAACCAACAAGGCACACGGGGAAAATAACCCAGCGATACAAAATACCAGGAGCTCCACCGAGCCTCACTATCCTCACAATAAACAATCACACACAAAGATAAAGGGGCAGAGGGAACACTTATACAGGTACTGATGAGGGGATATGAACCAGGTGTGTGTAATGAACAAGACAAAACCAATGGAATGATGAAATGAGGAGCGGCAGTGGCTAGAAGGACGTTGACGACGAACTCCGAAGCCTGCCCGAACAAGGAGAGTAGGCAGCTTTGGAGGGAGTCATGACACTTTGGCTGTTTTTACCTTTTATGGACATTGGCTTATACAGTGAGGGAAAAAAGTATTTGATCCCCTGCTGATTTTGTACGTTTGCCCACTGACAAAGACATGATCAGTCTATAATTTTAATGGTAGGTTTATTTGAACAGTGAGTGACAGAATAACAAAAAAAAATCCAGAAAAACGCATGTCAAAAATGTTATGAATTGATTTGCATTTTAATGAGGGAAATAAGTATTTGACCCCTCTGCAAAGCATGACTTGGTACTTGGTTGCAAAACCCTTGTTGGCAATCACAGAGGTCAGACGTTTCTTGTAGTTGGCCACCAGGTTTGCACACATCTCAGGAGGGATTTTGTCCCGCTCCTCTTTGCAGATCTTCTCCAAGTCATTAAGGTTTCGAGCCTGACGTTTGGCAACTCAAACCTTCAGCTCCCTCCACAGATTTTCTATGGGATAAAGGTCTGGAGACTGGTTGCCTTGGCCGTGTGTTTTGGGTCATTGTCATGCTGGAATACCCATCCACGACCAATTTTCAATGCCCTGGCTGAGGGAAGGAGGTTCTCACCCAAGATTTGATGGTACATGGCCCCGTCCATCGTCCCTTTGATGCGGTGAAGTTGTCCTGTCCCCTTAGCAGAAAAACACCCCCAAAGCATAATGTTTCCACCTCGATGTTTGACGGTGGGGATGGTGTTCTTGGGGTCATAGGCAGCATTCCTCCTCCTCCAAACACGGCGAGTTGAGTTGATGCCAAAGAGCTCGATTTTGGTCTCATCTGACCACAACACTTTCACCGAGTTCTCCTCTGAATCATTCAGATGTTCATTGGCAAACTTCAGACGGGCCTGTATATGTGCTTTCTTGAGCAGGGGGACCTTGCGGGCGCTGCAGGATTTCAGTCCTTCACGGCGTAGTGTGTTATCAATTGTTTTCTTGGTGACTATGGTCCCAGCTGCCTTGAGATCATTGACAAGATCCTCCCGTGTAGTTCTGGGCTGATTCCTCACTGTTCTCATGATCATTGCAACTCCATGAGGTGAGATTCTGCATGGAGCCCCAGGCCGAGGGAGATTGACAGTTCTTTTGTGTTTCTTCCATTTGCGAATAATCGCACCAACTGTTGTCACCTTTTCACCAAGCTGCTTGGCGATGGTCTTGTAGCCCATTCCAGCCTTGTGTAGGTCTACAGTCTTGTCCCTGACATCCTTGGACAGCTCTTTGGTCTTGGCCATGGTGAAGAGTTTGGAATCGGATTGATTGATTGCTTCTGTGGACAGGTGTATCATTTTATTTACAGAACACGCCTACCACTTTGAAGATGCAAAATATTTTTTATTGTGAAACAAACAAGAAATAAGACAAAAAAACAGATAACTTGAGCGTGCATAACTATTCACCCCCCCCCCAAAGTCAATACTTTGTAGAGCCACCTTTTTCAGCAATTACTGCTGCAAGTATCTTGGGGTATGTCTCCATAAGCTTGGCACATCTAGCCACTGGGATTTTTGTTCATTCTTTTGTTCATTCTTCAAGGCAAAACTGCTCCAGCTCCTTTCAAGTTGGATGGGTTCCGCTGGTGTACAGCAATCTTTAAGTCATACTGTCACGGATTCAGCCGAGGCTGCTCCTCCTCCTTGCTCGGGCAGGCTTCGGCGTTCGTCGTCACCGGAGTACTAGCTGCTACCGATCTATGTTTCTGTGTTAGACTTGTTATGTCTTGATTATGTACACCTGTTTCCCATTATGTTGTATTGTCTTCCCTATTTAACCCTCTGTCGTACACTGTGTGTTGTGTGTGATTGTATTTGTGATCGGCTGTCGTTAGTGTGCGGGTTATTTTCCTCCCTGTGTGGATAGTGTATATTCTCAGTTTACTTTCAAGTAAAGTACGTTTCGGATAAGCTCTGTGTCCTGCGTTTGACTTCGCCCACTGCAATTCACTGACCCCTTTGACAGAATCACACACCACTGACATGGAGTCAGCAGGAGCAGCGGTGCCAGACGGATCAATGGAAGAATGCGTACAACAACAAGCGGCCATGATCCAGGCTCTCGGCACCGCCATGGAACGTGTGGTGAACACAATGGAGCGATGGGAGAGAGAAGGTCTGCCTACACCTCCTCCGATTACACCACCACCATCATCGATACCCATCGCTTCACCTCCGGGGTCCATTGGGATTCGGCTCTCGCTCCCGAGGGCTTATGACGTCACAGCTTCCGGGTGTCAGGGTTTTCTGCTCCAGGTAGAACTCTACCTGGCAACCATACACCCGGCCCCCTCGGGATACGAGAGCGTGTCCGCCCTCATCTCCTGTCTGTCCGGCAAAGCGCTGGAGTGGGCCAACGCCGAGTGGGGGGGAATAGACGCCGCTACTGTCAGCTATGCAGAGTTAACCCGCCGCTTTTCCCTCTGGTGGATGATCGAATACCGCCCTAAAGCGGCGGGTGAACTCCGCATAGCTGACAGTAGCGTCTATTCCACCTCAGACAGGGGAAGAGGAGCGCGCAGGAATTCACACTGGACTTTCGGACTCTGGCTGCCAACGCGGGATGGAATGAGAGGGACCTCATCGACCACGACCGATGTAGCTTGAGGGAGGGAATTGGCCTGCAGGGACACCAACCTAAGCCTGGACCAACTGGTGGAAATGTCGATTCGACTGGATACCCTGTTGGTTACCCGCGGACGTCTGGATCCGGGGCCATCCATTCCATCCCCCAGCACTTACGAGCCTACCCTTATGGAGCTCGGAGGTGCTGCTATGAGGGAGACCAGGAGAGGGGCCGTCCCCTGCATCAACTGTGGCCGCAGAGGACACACTGCTGGTCGGTGCTGGGGAGGGCCTCCTAGGAGTCGAGGCAGTAGGCAGCGCACTGATGAGCCATTCCAGGTGAGTAGGCACCCAACTCACCCAGAGCTCCCTGTTGCGCATATGTGTATGAATGTTGTGTTTCCCGAGTTTTCCCCTCAGTCCCAGCATAAGGCGCTAGTAGATTCAGGCGCAGCTGGGAACTTTATCGATCGTCAGTTTACCCATAAGTTAGGGATTCCTATTGTGCCAGTCGATGTGCCCTCCCCTATCCATGCCCTAGATAGCTGCCCTTTAGGGTCAGGGTTGATTAGTGAAGTCACAGCGCCTCTCAGGATGAAAACGCAGGAGGGGCATGAGGAGATAATTAGTTTGTATCTGATTGATTCTCCTGCGTTTCCCGTGGTGTTGGGGCTCCCCTGGTTAGCTTCTCATGACCCCACTATTTCATGGCAACAGAGGGCTCTCAATGGATGGTCTGATCAGTGCTTGGGGAGGTGTGTAGGTGTTTCCGTAGGGGCAACGACGGTGGAAAGTCCGAACCAAGTTCCCACCATGCACATTCTGCCTGAATATGCCGATTTGGCTCTCGCCTTCTGTAAAAAGAAGGCGACTCAATTACCACCCCATCGACAGGGGGATTGTGCGATAAACCTCCAGGTGCTGGTTCATCCGGATCCCTCTTTGGCATTCCAAGTTGAGGTGGATGCGTCCGAGGCTGGGATCGGTGCTGTACTGTCTCAGCGCTCGGGTACGCCACCAAAACTCTGTCCCTGTGCTTTCTTTTCTAAGAAGCTCAGTCCGGCGGAGCGCAATTATGATGTGGGGGACAGGGAGCTGTTAGCTGTGGTTCAAGCCCTGAAGGTGTGGAGGCATTGGCTTGAGGGGGCTAAACACCCTTTTCTCATTTTGACTGACCATCGTAACCTGGAGTACATCCGGGCGTCGAGGAGGTTGAACCCTCGTCAGGCAAGGTGGGCTATGTTTTTCACTCGATTTGTCTTTACGCTCACTTACAGACCAGGTTCCCAGAACGCTAAGGCAGACGCCCTGTCCCGACTATATGACACAGAGGAGAGGTCCATTGAGCCCACTCCCATACTCCCGGCGTCGTGTCTGGTGGCACCGGTGGTGTGGGAGGTTGATGCGGACATCGAGCGGGCGTTACGTACCGAGCCTACTCCCCCCCAGTGTCCGGAGGGTCGGATGTACGTGCCGCTCGAGGTTCGTGATCGATTGATTTATTGGGCTCACACGTCACCCTCCTCTGGTCATCCTGGTATCGGTAGGACAGTGCACTGTCTTAGTGGGAAGTACTGGTGTCCCACTTTAGCCAAGTACGTGAGGGTTTATGTTTCCTCCTGCTCGGTGTGCACCCAGTGTAAGGCACCTAGACACCTGCCCAGAGGGAAATTACAAC